CTTCAGCATGTATTTCTGAGTTCTCTGTTGGGATTTTGTTAACAGTTAAAAAACAAAAAATGCCATTGCAGCCAAGATTCTCCTTTATGCCACGAAGGAGGCCTGGTGGCACAGCAGGGTAAATCCTTGGCTGCCAACTGAAAGGCCAGGGGTTGGAAACCAGCAGCCTCTCCATGCCAGGAAGACATGGCAGGTGCTTCCGTGAAGACTCGGGCAGTTTCCCTCTGTCCTTCAGGGTCGCTGTGAAATAACTCAAAAGCATCGTGTTGACTGGTTTTCTTAGTCTGTAACCAGCTGGCTCTCCATTTCATAAACCAAACATACAGGGAGGGAGGGGTGGAGGGAAGAACACTGTGATGTAAGTGGGGGAAGCAGAGGGAGAAAGAGTTGTTGGGAAGGAAACCCGTCCTCTCATGTCACTGTGCAGGACGAGGACTGGGGCTCTTGCAAAGGGGACTGCGAGGAAGATGTGGACAAAAACCCAGCCTAGCAGGTGGATGGAGGAGGTCTGAGACCTGAACTCACTCCCCAAGTCTCTTCCTTAGGGTAGAATTGGGTAGGCCAGGGAGTCATGGGGCAGCAATGAAAAATCAAATTAGCAGATCCAAAAGAAGTCATCCTCATGGTGGGGGATTAAAGAAGGCAAATGCATGAAACATTCTTAGAAGTCGACAGGGAAGTTGTGAACGAATAAAGTTAGCCAACCCAAGCAAAACTGAACATCTCTCTTCATCATGATTTACTCGCTATTTCTCTGGGTGATCACATCCTATGTGTCTAGGGCCTCTTGACCGCTGCTGCTTAGAACCGCCTCCCAAGGATCCTTACGGTTAAAGAGCAGACAATAAATATGTAGTCTTTTTGAACACTGGAAGCTCTGGGAGAACGATGAAGCAGTCGGCGCCCAGAAAGAGCCATGTCTCAGGAAGCCTTGGGAGCAGCCCTGTGTTCCATAGTTGGAACCAACACTTTTGTGTCTGAGTACATAGTTTTTTGCGGTTCCAAACTGATGTATGTTTATTATTTTCAAACGAGTGGGTGGCCTCTTTAGAACAGTAGATTTGTTCCTAAATGTTCATCATGATCTGAACAAGACAAACCAAAAAAGACAAAAACCCAGATTCCCAGAGTTTCAGAGCCAAGCTGCGTTTCTTGGGTGCCCAGTGGCTGTCGTCTTAGGGAAGTAGATCATTCAACCATGCTTGCAGAGTGCTCCTGAATGGATTCAGATTACTGGTACCGCCCAGGGACCCGATGTAAACAAATGCATCCATTAAAGAAGCCTCATTTTAACAGAGATAAGGTGTTATTTGTGACCTCCACCCTCTTTTTAATTTTGCTCCTGCACAATTGCCTTCGTTAACTGACTGTAATTCTACAAAGACAAGTATTTTCAGAGAAGTTACTCCCTGAACGTATCTATCCCTGAATATGAATAACATGAACTTCAAAAGAGACTAAGTCTAGTCATCATGTATTCTCAGCGTTGTTGCTGCGAGCAGCCATCAGTCACTTCTGACTCATAACGACCGTGTGCCACAGGACGAAACCCTGCCTGGTCCTCCACCCTCCTCACAGTGGTTCTTCATTTGAGCCCATGGTTGGAGCCACCATGTCAATCCATCAAAAAAAATATTTTTAAATCCTGGGAATTTTACTACAAAGTCAAACTGAAAATTACATCCTACTGAAAACCGAAATGGCCTGTTTTTCATCCTCTCTCACTTTCTTTCGATTACGGTCACATCATTTAGATACAGTAACAACTGCCTAAGTTGCACCTTTAACTCCTCAACACACACAGAACTTTTCTCCCCGTCTCTGTGTCTCGCTCCTGCTTTGAATATCTCCAAACTCTGACAATTTTAGCACTGAAACCTTATGTTTCTACTACCCAAACTGCCTTATCGGGGCTTAGTCTCTGGCAAGCCTCTCTCCCATTCCAATAGCAGATACTACAAGCCAAAGTAGTACTCTTCCCAGACCTGCTCCCTTTCAGCCCAGCCTTCCTGGCAGTCGCCGCCAGTTGGAAGTCTATTCCACAGGACCAGATTCGCATGTTCCACATTCCATTGTAGCCAGCTTCCTGACCACAAGGTTCACCTAGATGGCCAGGACCCCACCTGCACACCCCAGCTAGGATCTCAAGAGGCAGGCTGAATTTTTAGCATATGCCCCAAGTGATTCTTACTGTCAGTAGAGTCTGCGCAGTCCGGTTCATGCTATATTAAGTGAATTGTTTTAAGACCCAGAACAGAGCAATTCAAAGAAAGAGAAGCTGAAAAGTAAGCAGAGCAACACGTTGTTACTGGAGATTGTCCTGAACAAGCACCGATTCAAGCACTCAGCCGTAGCGTTGGGAAGTGTGGTCGCATTCCATGTGATCGGACCATTCGCCCTCTGCAGTTTCTTCAGTTTAGCGTGTTTAAGGGTTTTTGATGAACAAAAATTGGAAACCAAAGATGTATACGCAAACATCTACCGACACTCCTTAATCAAAATCTCTACTCCCTGAAAGAGTCTGTTTAAATAATTTTACTTCTAAAATAAGAGCCCCATCTACGTAGTGATTCTGAGTGTCCATAAGAACCTTCATGGAGGGTCAAGGTGATAGGAGGAGCCATAGTGCCTTCAGAAAACAGTATCTTGAAGTGTATGATGACAGAGTGCCCCGTGGCCAGTGTTTAAAACTTAGTAAAACAAATTCAAATTCCAAGTCTTTGGCGAACAGAATTAATACCAGCTTCATGCTTACGGTGCCTGTGGAAGTTACCCTCCCATTACCTTGGAGTCAATCCTGACTCAGCATGAGCCTGCATTCAGTCTCTGAGCCTGTACATTTTTGTGGGAATGGACAGCCTGAACTTTCTCCCTTAGTATAACTGTCAACCTAGCCATTAGCAACCTGATGCTCACCTCACCCATCAGCACCACCTGGAGGGGCTCTTTTGGGCAAGCAAGTCAGAAATAACTCTACGTAAAGTAAGGCGGAATGAACAGAGAAGTGGCCATTGAAGATGGGAAATAAAAAGAGCGAAAGGAATGTTATCATAGGTGCATCTATTTTCCCTAATCATCACGGTTTCAAGTCACTTTAATACACAATCTATGCTAGAAAGCAGCCCCTAACAACAACAACAACAACAACAACAAATCACTGTGAAGATCACTCCTTATTGTACAGCTTACAAGTACCCTGCTGGGCAGGGGGTAACATTTTACTTATTCATCGACTGACTTTCTGGATACGCATGTATTTCAAAAAATGCTTGTTGAAACTTTTTGTCTTTTTTTTTTAAACTACTTGAGAGAATCTGTTTCAAGGTTTTTTTTAACCTTTGTTGAAAACATATATCACCGTCAACTCAATGTAAAGCATAATGCAGTTTATTTTAAACATTAGACCTTATTGCTATGCTGTTCAACAGTACATGATCATTATGTTCAATTCTCACCTCCAGCTCCAATAGACTGTGGAACATCAGGTAGTAGTTTTTCTCTTCTTATGTTTTAATAAAATAAACTTCTTTTAAAAAGACACTCTGGTAATATTGCTGACATTTCTAGATAAAGGGAGGAAAACAAAGATACACACTTTTCTCCAAGCATGAGACACTATGGTTATATTTGGACGACTTGCATTGGTTTTCAGGGCCCTTAGTAATGCTGTGGGGTAAGCACTGGGCTACTCACCACAAGATTAGCAGTTCAAACCCACCAGTTGCTATGTAGAAGGATGAGGCTGTCTGCTCCCATTAACATTTATCGTCTTGCAGACAGCATTTTAATGTTAATTGTGACAGATACAGTTAGGTTAACATGTAATACCTTATCATTTTATCTCCTTTTTGACCCATTTTAAATTGTTTCAATCTTCTAATTAAAAAAAAGTTGATTCCGTTTTTAATATTTTTCCGCTTTTTCGATTGAGGTTTTTCCACGTTTCATGTGGCTATTCTTTGTTCGTTAGCTTCCTGTTTGTGTTTTCTGTGATCTTCTGTTTTTGAGAGCCAGGACAGGTGTCTCTCTAAAGGCAGGAACTGGACTGATCATTGGGTAGGAGCTCAGCAGGGGAGGATGGGGCTGAAATGGGGATCTAACAGCAGTGTGCACTGGGAGAACATCGTTCTGAAATGGATTGTGGTGTGATTGTACAACTCTTTTTGTCTTAATCATTTTATTGAGGACTCATACGACTCTTATCATAATTCATACATCCATCCGTTATGTCAAGCACATGTGTATTTGTTGCCATCATCATTTTCAAAACATTTTCTTTCTACTTGAGCCCTCCCTCTTCCACCCTCCCTCCCTCATGAACCCTTGATAATTTATAAATTATTATTATTTTGTCATATCTTACACTGTCTGCTATCGCCCTTCACCCACTTTTCTGTTGTCCATCCGCCAGAGAGGGGGTTATATGTAGATCCTTGTGATCATTTCCCCTTTCTCTCCCTCCTTCCCCTTCCCCTCCTGGTATGGTCACTCTCATTATTGGTCCTGAGGGGTTTATCTGTCCTGGACTCAGGATTGAACCATTACATTGTATTATATATGAAGTATATGCCAATAAAACTGTGAAAACGAGAGAGAGATTTAGAGTCTCGGAAGCCCTGTGGGGCAGTTCTACTCCTGAACGTACTTATTTGTACTTAATGGCTCACTGGCCCCTTTTCCTTAAAAAAACAAAAACAGAAAACCTTACTCTGTGCTCGCCTGGCAATTAACATTTTTTGTACTGTAGTCCATGACCCAGGAGAAAGTGTCAGTATCCGCTTTCTCTGCTCTCCTGGGGTCGTTCCAGTGCCCACCCCACCCCCCACCCCCCCGCCCCCACCTCCCGGGCCACTATCACCCACTTTGGAACCATTGATGTGAAGGGCAGGCCTTGACCAGGAGCACTGCAGGGGGTTCTCTGGTTTGCTTTGTTGCTCCTGTGGAGGAAGTGGCATCCTTCCTGAGATAACGGGTGGGAATCTTCTTTCCCCATGCTGTAGGGAGTCCTGCTGGAGAGCCTTGCGGAAAGACTTGCTTGGAAGAGAGAGACAATCAGTGGTTGGGGGTCACACTGTCCAGGCAGCCTGGAGAAAATGGATCGGTCGTGGTAGGTACTGGGATGGGTCCCCCATGAACACTGTGAAGTCAGTCATTCTGGGTGTGACTTTCACTTCACTTACTCTACTTTTGTGTTGTATTCAGGCCTGTGGGCATAGATGGAAAAATATATTTTACATAAAAAATGAAAATAAACTCCCCACTGGTGTTTGCTATGGAATACCGGCCAACTTACGAACAGAAGTGAGTAAAAGGATAGCTCCATGTTATCAAGGTAAGACCCAGTTTGATAGCAACTGGATCCAGAGGAACAACTTAATGCCTTCAACGTTTTCTTTTTTTCCATGTTGGACTTCAGAGAGGAGAAGGGAGACCTTTGATACGGCTGCGTTCTTTTTACCTACTCAAGTATTACTTTAAAAAGTCCAGTTACAGCACCATTCGTGTCACGAGTGCAATGCGTGCCATTGGGATGAGGCATTCTGCAGTTTCATTTCAATGATACTGAATTCTAATAGCCCACTTTGGTGTACATTTGCCTTCAGTTCAGTGTAAGTGAAACAATGCCCAGCAAATACAAAATACTTAAAATTGTGAAGTTACGTGGAAACATTTGAGTGGCAGGAGAAATCTCTATAGGTGTCTTGTTTTATCTTACTTCTTGGATCTTCACCTCTTAGGAATGCCTAGAAAATTCAAAGTTTTGAGTGTAAGCCAATGTTTTTTGCTCATTTTAAAAAATTCATGTATTTCCTTGGAAAGAGTCCATGGCTGTGTCATACGTTTGAAAGGCCACTTCTATAAAAATTCTGGACTATGGGTAACCTTAGAGAGAAGAGGGCGGGGATATCAACAAATGACTGATTTGAACGGAATTCGGAGTCAGTGTCAACCGAACATTAACATTTTAACCCTGTATGTTCCTGCTGTGTCTTTGGGTGTCATGAAGGTAAAATATGAATGTTCAATCCTCAATTGCAGTCAAAAGATTTCTAAGTATTATCTTTTTTTTTCAAATGGTTTAGAGTGTATAGTTGAACATATTTTCACAGTAGATTTTGTTTTTGCTCAGATAGACTTAGCCACATTCTACACTTTTTTAAAAAATGGCCTGAAGCAGAGAGATCTACAATATGGCAAAATTTATAGAGTGAGCACAAAAATAACATTCAGGAAGACAGTTTTCAAAAAAAATGATAAACAATTTCATTGACATATTATTCATATATCATACTATTTACTAGTTTCAACATCATAAATACATCGTCACAACCAATTTTACAACCTTCTCTTCTTTGGGGAGGACTCATTTTTAACTCCCCATTTTCCAGCAGCCTCCCCTGCCATCACCCCTCCTTCTTGTCTCACTGATGCCGACTCATAGCAAGCCTACAGGACAGGGCGGAACTGCCCCCGTGGGTTTGTGAGACTCACTCTGTGTGGGAGTATGAAGCTCCGCCTGTCGTTCTCCGGCAGCAGCAAGGCCGGTGGCTCTGGACTGCTGGCCTTGTGGTTGGCAGTTCGATGTGTAACCACTATGCCACCTGGGCTCCCGCTGTAACCGGAAGAAATGACAAGATTGTATAGACTCACCCAGCCTGTACAGATCAAAAACTCAAATGACTGGACACTACTTATGCAAACAATGAGGGTGGGAGGTAGGGCAAAACTTTCAATAGTGCTCATCTGCAAAGGCAGGATCCTGACTGCTGGATTAAGATATACAAGAGAGAAAGCTTCACAGCATGGACAATGGCAGGGAACAGTTCATTGTAAATGACTTGGGAATTTATCTTAAGTTTTCTGATGGGAAAGAGAAGAATGCTGTGGTTGCAGTGGCATTTTCAAGATGTCATATCGATTAGTTCAAGGGAAGCAACACTGACCCCCACCCCCATTTAGTTGTAAACATTTTCCTTCATTGGGGTGTTGTGATCAGAGAGCCTATGTACCATGTAGATCTTGATTTATTCAGAGAAAAATCTAGGAGGCCTAGTTTAAATGGAGACCTAGGCTAGGAATTAGAAATTCTCTCTTACATTGAGAACTTGATAATTTTGTTTGAATGTATGCTGCATTTTCTTATCATGAAAAATAAGGAGTAGATAATTTTATTGCTATTTAATAGAGATATGAATATTCCTCTGGCTATTGGTGAGCTTAAAATGTATCAGTTACTAATTTTAAAATGCTGTCATACAAAATACAGATCATCAATGCCTTATTTTCCAGTTGATCTTGTCTCTCATCTACAAATGAACTTGTCCCATGGTTCAGTTTTCAGCCACAAACAATTAGGAAGGTACCACATCTTAAAATAAGTAACTATTTAAAATCAAAAGGTAAGCATTTATGTAAGGACAAAATTCAGCACGGTTAGGAAAGAAAGAGGAAAGGAAACAGGAGGCAGAGGGGTACGTGTTGTTACATTGTAGGGATTGTAGTCAATGAGCTAAACAAAGGGGCATTGGATTGTTGGATAGAAAAAAAACGGGTCTGCTCTGCAGAACTTCACCTTATCCACAACAAAAGGTGTGTTTTGTTTTTTTTTAGGTGTGTTGTTTTTAAGGGATGTATTCACAAGACTTTTAAAGAAGAACAAAATTATGGAAATTAACCTTCAATGTTTAAATGAAGTCGTAAATTGTTGTATATTTCATTTTAGATTATGTGAAAAAATTTGGGGAAAATTTTGCGTCATGTCAAGCTGGGATATCCAGTTTTTACACAAAGGTAATAATCTAAATCATAGCTGCTGTGAATGTTTACACGGAAAAGCTTATATCTTCAGATAGTTTAGAGCAGTGGTCCTCACCCTTCCTAATGCCGTCACCCTTTCATACAAAGCCTCATGTTGTGGTGACCCCCCACCAACCATAAAATTATTTTCATTGCTACCTCATAACTGTAATTTTGCTACTGATATGAATCGGGTGACCCCTGTGAAAGGGTCGTTCGACCCCCAAAGGGGTCGCGACCCACAGATTGTTAGCTTGGACATTGAAAATTTCTATCCAAATATGTTCTATATAATTACTAGTTGAAGTGGAAAGGAAGTATATTTGCCCATATATTTTATCAAGAATCTGAGAATTTAAGAATGCTGAGACTAAGAACTTAATAGCCACGTCTTATATTATATGTCAGTAGTTTCAAATTCAATTATTTTCTATCTAGGATGTACTGTGAAAGGTCATTGTTGTGCTCAACCCCCAAGTGCCCCAGTTTCTCTTAAGAATATATATGAATTAATAAATCTTTTCTAAATTCATAAAGTTGATCTCTGTCAACTCTTGAGTTAATTTCTATAAATGTTATCTACTATGCAATAAAAGTGATTATAGTAATGATTTCCTTTGTTTATATTTAAATTGAATTTTTTAAAGAAAGCTCAGGATTACTTCAGACATTTAAAAATACATTAAATAGAGTTGATTGCTCAAAACTTTCATTCATCTCCAGATTAGTGCCCTCTCATTACAACTTAGTCTTTGTTTTCTGTTCCTAAATTCCAGTTTATAATCAAATATATACCCCAAATTCCTTTATTCCCCCTAAAGTTAACATTGTTAAGGAAACTAGCCAGTGGCATTTTGCCAAATGAAATAAATTAAGTCCACTTTTCCTTCTTTGGCAACAAGAGATTATCTCTTCAATGAGCAATAACGAATTACTTAGATTTGATTTACTTTAATGTAAGCCACGTTGATTTCTTTCCAAAACATATTCCAGTAGTCAAGGATTCTACCTCCTCTTTTAAAGCCCCGATAAATTTAAAGGAAGCATTTCTGAGTCTCTTCTCTGAAAATTTACCTTTAGAGGGGAGTTCATCACTATTTTTTGCTAAAAGTTTTATTTTCATAATATGCTCAGATTGAAGATATTTAACATAAAAGTACACCTTCTTTATTATTTATTTAAAATGTATTTGTAGACAATTTCAGATGGCGAGTTTGAACTCTCAAATGATTTTTTTTTCTTATAGGATTTAATTGTGATGGGAGCCCCAGGATCTTCTTATTGGACTGGTTCTCTCTTTGTCTACAATATAACTACCAACAAATACAAGGCTTTCTTAGACAAGCACAATCAAGTAAAATATGGAAGCTATTTAGGTACTACAAAAATCGACAAACTCAAATGATCTCTGCCTTAATGATAATAGTAGTTATAATTAAGGGAAATTTTATTTGAAAATTGCCAATCATAATTTTAGAGTTACAAAGTGGACATCATGGAGTTTGAAATTATGAAAAACTAAATTTAATTTAGTATTATATGTATAAATCTACAGTCATAAAAATGTAATTCTAAAACTGGAACCCCTAGTTCAGTTTATTCTTTGCAATGTGCCTTATGAAACACTTGTGAGCTTGTATCTCTCTCCATGCAGCCAACTTAACGATTGCACAGGTAGCATCTGCTTGGTGCATGGAATAAGTCAGGCTCTTTCCATAAGCACTTGATGCCGGTTAACTCCTTCAGTCCAGTGTGGGTAATTAAGTATAGTTTCTTAAAAGGCTAATTGAAAACCTCATTTTAGACAAAAACCAAACCAAACTCAATGTTCTTGAGTGGATTCCGACTCGAGCTTAAAGTTAGGACAACAGTCATGGGAAACATGTTGAGGTTTAGGAATCATTTTTAAATTTAAAGCTTAAAAGATTATATTTTCTCAAAACACCCCCCCACCCCCCGCCACCCCAAAACCCAAATTCACTGACATCAAGTGATGTCACTACAGGGTCACTGACCCATAGTGACCCTGTAGACAGGGTAGAACTGCTCCCGTGAGTTTCTGGGAAGGTAACTTTAGGAAGTAAAAAGTCTTGTCTTTCTCCCGAGGAGCTGGAGGGTGGCAGTTAGTGGCCCAACGCGTAACCACTGAGCCACCATAATCCTAGAAGCTTCCAATACTCCATAAACCACTGCCATTAAGTCCGTTCTCATTTGTAGTGACCCTTTATGGAGTTTCTGAGGCTGTAACTCTTTACAGGAGCAGATGGGCTGGCATTTCTCCCATAGAACATACCCATAGGGTTTGCAAAGCTACAGATCTTGATAGCTTTGTAACTAGTTCCTTTGATCCCCCATCTTTGCAGTTAGCTGCTCACTCTAACCCACAGGGACTAACAAGCCACATGTAAAGGAGTTATATTCAGTTTCTAGGCCTTAAAGATATAAACTGTTGGCTATAGCTTTATGACAATCAATTGCTGAACAGTGTCCAGTGTTGAGTACTACTTTGCTGAATATGAGGAGCCCTGGCAAGGTACTGGTTAAGAGTTGGGCTGCTACCTGTAAGGTTAGCAGTTCAAAACCACCACCCTGCTCTGTGAACCACCACAGGGGCTGTTCTACCCTATTTTTTTTGGTTGCTATGGATCTGAATGGGCTCAATGACACATTTGGTGCTAAATATTTTTAGAAATCTTTCTTCTGCCAAAGTCTTTAATTTAGTCCCATTTAATTCTAGGATAAGATTTATGACTGTGTACTTCACCGCTTGTAAATTTTAATTCTCATACTTCATTCTTATTATGAAGGGTACTCCGTTGGAGCTGGTCATTTTCAGAGTCCTCACACGACAGAAGTAGTTGGAGGAGCCCCCCAACATGAACAGATTGGTAAAGTAAGACTTACATTTTATACGTATTTCTTCACGAAAGTTCAAGTATCCAGCCTGAGAGCATGAGAAGTTGTTAAAAGAGGAACTGAAAAAATTCTGAGGAAGAAACTATTAGAAATGAGGACCAGGGTGCCTGTCTAGTGGATGTGGTGAGAGATGGACGGTTGCTAGGAGAGGTGTTGCTGAACCCCTTGAACTAAGATAAAAGTTACGGGGGTCAAAGGCGGTGTTTCTTTATACTATCGAGATAGAATTATGAACATACACCCCAGGACTATGTGTGTATTACAGAACAGCTTTACATCTCAAAGGAACTGGAGGGGGCTCTATGGTGTGTGGGTAAGGCTACAAGAAAGAATGCTCTTTGCAATCCTAATGTTTGCCAACATGGCGAGTTAAGCTTAGTTACTCGGTCTTTCTGAAGTTTACTGGGAAACCTCATGTTTACTTGGGACAAGGCAATGCTTCGGTGACGTTTCTATGCGATCAATAAGACAGTTTCTGAGAAGGAAATTTTATAAATAAGGCATTTTCATGTGAAAGTGGGCCCTAAAACTGTTCTCACCGTCTTAAAATTGATTTTAATGTAAGCAAATAAAAATTATGAAAATGGATGTTTTGGTCAAATAAGAACAGCTCCTTTTATTTTGTTTTTTATACGCAAAAGAAGTCTGATGTTTTCTCATTCTTTTCCCAATTCCAGGCATACATCTTCAGCATCGATGCAAAAGAGCTAAATATCTTATATGAGATGAAAGGTAAAAAGGTAATATGTCTCTCCGTATGGTATCACTGAGGGCTTTCATGAGTAGCCCTGCTCTTTTCTCAATGACCGGATGTCATTTGCTTTGGCGCAGCTTGGATCCTACTTTGGCGCTTCCGTCTGTGCCGTGGACCTCAACGCAGATGGCCTCTCCGACCTGCTCGTGGGCGCGCCCATGCAGAGCACCATCAGGGAGGAAGGGAGAGTTTTCGTGTACATCAACTCCGGCGTGGTATGTCCGATCTGCCCACAAACTCGAAGCCATTTATGAGCTGATGATCAAAATGGAACTGATTCTTAGTCCAGCATTGTGATAGACTGTTTGTTTTCCTGCTAAAAGAACAAGTTCCAGCGTTGCACTGATGCTCTGAAAAAGGTGGCAAATGAAGATGATAAAGGGGTAGCCACCCCCTTTGGATGAGATGAACTGTCCTGGAGTTTCTTTTTTCGCAATTTGTATGCTTTAACTCCAGTGGTTAAAGCTTCTTCCAGTTCTATTATGATACCTGTATGATATATATATATATATATATATATATATATATATCTCGCATACATTCTTTGATGTATTTTTAGTGGATTCAATGGACTCAGTGGATTTTAAAAATTTGTTCTAGAGTTAGTCCATTATAATATTTTAGTATTATTGATTATTATACAACAAGCCCTAGTGGTATAGTGGGTTGTGAGTTGGGATGCCAACCAGAAGGCAGTTCAAAACCACCAGCCAGTCCAAGGAAGATGAATGAGGCTTTCTACTCCCATGAAGAGTTGCAGTCTCAAAAACGTACAGGGGCCATTGTGCTCTGTCCTGTAGGGTGACAGGGACTCAAAATCTACGTGGTGGCTGTGAGTTTGGCTTGCCTACGATAATAATAGATGCAAACGATAAATAGGGAATGTTTTGAATGTCTTGACTTAAGACATTAGAAAGATGTGTTCTGATAAGGTGTTGATTTGCACAATTCGTGTGCACTGTATTCCTCAGTATAATATAAACTTATCATAGGCATTCCAAAGTAGATGTACTAGTTGTGGACATAGGCAGTCATCGTTTAGGGGAAATTTTACCTGATGAGAAGTATACAAACTGACCACTTGACACTTCAACGAACACTGCCGCTGGCCTTCTCTTTCCAGCCTAACTATTTGGCATTCAATGAAAACAAGGATGTGAGAGGACCTTACTGGGGTCTGCTTGGCCAGTTTGTTCATTTTAAGCAAGAAGAGTTGAACTATGGGAAAATTGGTTCATTTTATTATTGCACATCACTTTTGTCAGTCAGGAATCAAAAATGACAATCTGTTTAATAAGGTATTGGTAGCCTTAATTAATAGCAATTCTGAAGTTCCTAAAGTAAGCATGAAATGAATCTCTTTACAGTTGAAGGGTTGATAAAGCTGAGAGGTTCTCAGCTCCCTCAGAGAGGGTCTTTGAGACTTAACTATCGAACAAGAAGATCGTTTCTGCCCTGGGCTTGCCTAAGCTGTGCAGAAACCTAGATGTAATTATAAAGGCGCAGCATCTAGAAAGTGGTCATTAGAGTCTTATTACTTGTGCTGTCAGACAATTGTTCTTCTTCTGTAAACATATCAAATCTCTCCTGTCCATAAAGTCTTCCTTTTACTTGCTGTCTTCTAATTTTGAAAATTTTCTTCTTCCCTTTAAAATGAAACTTTGTGAGAATATTTTAAACAGTAGACTATACACCTAAAAAGGGGAGCATAGAATATTTTTCCCATCGAAATTATAAGTACCCCTAGTACATAAAAGAGATATAAGTGAAGCCATTTTTAGAGTGCAAATGAATAGGCCATCTTCTTGTCCATCCCGCTGTTGAATACTAGGGATAATTTAGTAATTCATTCCAGCTTTTAACTCTTACAAATTATTCTTTCATTATTCCTTTTCAACCCTCTCTCCCTGAAATGACAAGTACTATCTGGCATTATATTATGTGTTTGTCTGTCTGGTTTACTAGTGTCTGTTCTCCTACTGGAGTGTAAACTGCATGTAGTGGGGAATCTGTCTGTCTCGTTTACTGCTATGTACCACGACCTGAGCAAGGAGGTGCTCAGTAATTGTTTTTCAATGAATTCAAGAAATAATGATAAGGCAGTAACGTGATCAGGATTGGAACATAGGTTTAGTAACTGTTATTGCATCATATCTTAAGTTTTATGGCAATAATTTACTTCCAGCTTCTGAGACATCAGCTGACTAGTTCAAGTTGCATTGACGCTGATTGAAGGTTGGAAGGGCCTGCTCCAGGGCCTTTATGTTCTCAGCTCAGAAAGCTTCAACGGATCCATGTGGTCCCCTAGATGAGCGGGACAAATGTCCTCTGGCCTTCAAGGTCCCACACCAAAGACCAATCTAAGATTTTTCATTTCATCCATGATATTCAGCCTTCATTATAAACAAATTCTTGGGCGTGTGTGCTTTGTTGATAATGTTTTGCCTGCATATCAAATGTGCTCCCGTCCTTCACTGCCCACCTTGAATGCCATCTCTTTTATGAAATGTCTTCCAGTTCTCACAATTAGCATGCTCTCCTTGCTTTTTGATCTTCCGGTTTTGTTTTGTTTTGCTTCTCAGCCATTTGCATGTGTGTGCTAAACCATCTCTGTATCTGTGTACTTCATGAGGAAAAGGAAATGTGTCTTATACAAAGGGACTTTCAAAAGTGCATAGAAAAACAATGGATTTAAAAGATCATGGAATTTTTCCCGCAGACTTTTTGCTAAAGCTCTGTCACACATACAACATCGTGTTCCTACTCAGCCATGCACGCTTTGCACAATGCACTGTCTTTAGTGAGAGCTCAATAAATATTTGTTAAATTGAATTATCAAAATGATTTATTGAATTTTCAAAGCCAGGGATCATGAGTTTGACAGTTTTTTATGTCCTCTGAGCTTTAATCACACGATTACATGTGTTGGCATGCTCAATAAATATTTATTGAATTGAACTAAGATGTGTGTACTAAAGCTCTGTAGTTTACCCAATTTGTTTGAAGCATGAGGGGGAAAATCCATATCCAATCACAACGGGAAATCAGGTGTAACGTGGTCAGGGAGTGTTATAATGACACCCTTTCCCTGTCTTTCTATCTAGGGAGCAGTAATGAATGAAATGGAAACAGAGCTCATTGGAAGTGACAAATATGCTGCAAGATTTGGGGAATCTATAGTTAACCTTGGCGACATTGACAATGATGGCTTCGAAGGTAATTAAAAGTATTCCACTTGGTACATGACTCCAGCATTTCAAATAGTCTTGGATGGGAAAGTTCTAGGAGGGTGTTCGTCTCTAGTCCGTCTATAGAAAAGGGAACCCGAGTAATCTGCTGAGTTTGGCGTTTCTTTATTGTGCTGCACTCGGCTTCTCCGGACGGCCAACAGGAGGTTATTGAGGGTGTTATAAAGGATGCTATTGCCTCGAAGACACCATTGACTCTAGCCCAAACAGCAGCAAAACTGGCTGTCAAGTTGACTCCATGTCACAACTCTGTAGGGTGGAGTAGAAAGGCCCCATCATATTTCGGAGCCTGTCATCTTCAGGGAAGGAGACTGCGGCATACCTGTTCCGTGCAGCAGCTGGTATGGAAGCAACCTTTCCATTAGCAGCCACATGCTTCACCATCATGCCACCAGCGCTTTTGCCATTGATTGTGAACCAACAACACTAATCTCACTGCCAATTCTGACTTCTAGCAACCCTCTAGGATAGGTGGCACTGCCCCGGGGGGTTTACTTGTAAAATGTAGACTGTAAATAATTGCAGGAGTAGAAAGCCTTATCTTTCTCCCAGGGAGCAGCTAGCACTTAGCAGCCCACCACATAACTCCTGTGCTTCCACTGTTTATATGTCACATCCTTTTATGTGCATGTGACATGCCACCTATTTTTAAGAGGATGCTAATTTGAGATGTGATTAAGAATGAAAGAATTGTGCAGCTTAGGCGGTGTATAGTTTAGGATATGGCATTCAACTAGCACCGCAGTAGAGGCAGTGACCAACTCCGTCAGATGCTGGCTGCAAACTAGAGCAGGGCTTCTAAAAGCTCCCGCTGTGCCAGCTTTCCCCATTCCACTGCTGCTTGTGAAGGGACTTAGGGATGACAAGAGACAGGGCATCTGGAGAACCTGTAGATAATGATTATTCATTTGCTGCTATGGAGGTATTTTAATAATTGAACAGAAGGTGCAAATTGTCTGGATACCGGTCCTGCCTAGATACCATCCACCAGCATTCCTTTTTAAAATCTAGTTCTGTGTGGCAACCAAGGCCGTTCAGGTTGTGCACAAAATTATGAATGAGTTTTAGAAGACAGTGTATAATATCTTAGAGTCCAATATAGAAGCATTGTATGTTTACTTTTAGGGTTCAGAATATGTCTTCTTGTTGCGACAATTGACAATTGGTAGCTGCTAGTGATGTAAAACACACATTGGACCAAATCTTACCTGGATTCTGGAAATAAGTGAGGGGTGTATTAGTTCACATTTCATAATTCTATCTGTGACTAAATGCCTTAATCTACTTTAAATGTATAAAATACAAGACCGGTTCCCAAGTAATTATTTAAATCACTGCTTCACTTGCGTTTTCTTAGATATAAAATGCTAAATTTGATGTATAAGGATTACTATTGCCAGATTTCTTTTTACTACTTAAAAATGAGAGAACTCTTATATGGAGATATCCTTATGACTCTTCTGATTGTGCATATTTATATTAAACCATTCTAAAACACCTGTAAATTTTTATCATGAGGACTGTACCATAAATAGCAATTCTACAATATTTATTGAGCATTTATATTTAAATTTATCAGATGTCTCATTCTAGGTATTGCTTATTTGCCATTAAAATTCAAATGAAGAAATGGCACTCTTTTTTTCTGATTTTACAGTCAAATGGCATTATTAGGGGAAAACACTAAAAATAAACCTTATTTAGTGATGAGATTAAGCACATAGAGACCACCTACTTAATAAATATCTGTAGTATCAAACCATGTTGGTACATCTGGATATTTTACATATATAGTATGGAATAATATGATTCTTTTTTTTAAAGCACAAAACTGTCTTTTAGTAAAATACTTTGTTTACTTAGGCTTTCTTTCATATCTTATTTTAGTGGACACACTCATAAAAGATCATGTACTATTTTGAGTGTGCTATCATATATGTGGATGTGTGTCCCCAATTCATATATTTGAATTGTGTAAACACAGAAAACCATTTTATCATTCTCTAGATCGACTTCAAACGTATTTTTTTCTAGTTTCTATAATAGCAATTAGAGCTTTTTAGTGTAAGTCTTAAGTGTTCTCCTGGGAATTAAAAGTTGAATTGGATATACCCAAATACTTTCTGAATAGAAGAAAACGTGGCCCAAGCTTTTAAAATACGTAACTTCCAAGGCTCATGTGTATGTTGCAAGAAATCTTCCTTCATTTGGTTCACTGTGCTAATAGAATATTTGTGGATGGACAATTTCATAACCAAAACTTGCTTTTTTCATGTATTATCAAGAATCAAAATACAGAATTCTACTTAACAGGGCTTTAGCTTGAATGATAAAAGTATTAGTTGATCTCTGATTAATTCAATTACTAACTGGTCTTGTCTTCAAAGACTCCAAGGTTCTACTTCCCTCTTCCCTTTCCCTCCCTCCTTGTCTCTTCCTGCCTCGTCCATGTGTTCCAACAGCATTTAGTCTGCTCATCTCTGGCTCCGGCTGTGCCAATGGCCATTCTTCAGGCGTACCTTGCTGTCTCTTGATTACTTGCCTTTGTGCAGGCTGCTTCCTCAGTCTACATTACGACATTTTCTTACTACACCTGACTATGATGTAGCGATGACTTTCATCTCAGCTTGGGCATCATCTTGTACTAGGCTTCCTTAATTTCCACTGTCTCATATGTACATGCTGTTACTATTATGTTTTGACTTATTGACCTTTCCTTCTCACCTATGAGATTCTTTTTGTGGTTTGACCCTGAATCAACCAACACCTGGCAAGTGTCTGGAATATCAAATCCAACCCAAGCCCCCGTCGTTGAGTCTATCCTGACTCGCAGCAACCCTGTGTAGGGTTTGCCAAACTGTAACTCCTGTGAGAGCAGATGGCTTCCTCTTTCTTTGTCGGATTTCAGCCTCGGAGTTCTAACTTGCAGTTAGCAATCACTGAATACCTGAAACCACCACCAAATGAGTGTCTTGGCATGTGAAAAGTTAAGTCAAAATAAGCTTCTCTTCTTATGTTTGACCAAAACAAGAAGTAGATGAAACTAGAAAAGCTTTCACATTTTTAAAATTATATGTAATTTGGCATAGAGTTACATATCAAAAATATTTTTATGCATGTTGAAATGGTAAAATTATCACTATAATTGTATCCAATATTATAGATTTTATAGACAGTGATAAATAATAAATATGAGAGTAAACTTTTTGTACTTTATAGTAAAATAACAAAATATTAAATATAAACAAATATAGGAATATGCCCATACATATGTGTAAACCTTATTTTCCCCCCAAACTACGACATGCATTTGTACTGTGGTTGTTCTGAGGTGCCGTGGGGTGGATTCCGACTGCTAGTGACCCTAGCAGTTGTTCTGAGGTGCCGTGGAACACATCCACAACTGCTCTAGGGGTCAGCCCCTTTATGCAAGAGGGCTTCCAAAAGTTTGTGGGAAAATGTAATTGAGAGCTGGTGGAATATTTTCATGAACTTTTGAAGCCTTCTTATATTTGTCTTCCACCTTGGAGGTATTTTCCAAGTGCCTCTATGACAATGTTTAAAAAGAAAATGAGTGCAGTGTATTTGGGAAACACCACCCAGGGGAGGGAGCTGTTGGCAAACAAACACAGAATATGTATGCTATTTGCACTTGAAAACAGTGTATGTGTGTTTGTGAATGTAATTTTTATTTGTTTGTAGGTAGATAAATAAATAGAAACAATACTTGATGAAAATAATGACATGCTCTTGCAGTGGTAGAATATCATTTTTCTTCTATGTTGTTCTCTATGTTTGTAGGCCTGAAGCAACCATTTCATTTATAGTTTGTTTTTCTGTTGATTTTCTTATATCAGTTCAAATCTTTTCATTTTAATTTCTCCTGGTATCATAATAGGATGTAAATCCCAATAAGGTCCTATTGTAAAGGTGATGCAGTCATTATATTTGCAGAGAAAATCCATTTAGTAAAACCTAGTATGTATGTGTGCATGTATGTATGTGTGTTTACAGATATCCTAAGCAAATACTACTTGAATAACTGTTGTTGGAGTAAGGAATTAATGTAGACGTCCTTTGGACAGTAAATTAAAGCCCAAAGCTCAAAATAAAGATTATGGAGGTTGTAATTTTCAGAGATTATAATAACAGGCGAAATGGCAAGCACTGCCCTAAGCGGTTTATACACATTATGTCCTTTTCAGCTGAGGGTGGATTCTATTTGATCCCATTCTGTAAGGGGCGCACCTATAGCACAGAGATGAATACACGGGCCGAGCGTAGCACAGCTGCACACGAGTGCAGAACTGGGAACAGCCCGCTCTGGCTGCAGAGCCCATGCCACCGCACAACCCTGCCTCTCAGGTTCTGCACCATAGCCTCTCCATGTCTGCCATGCCCTGACCCTTACTCGCGGACCCGATGTCGCTGCCATGACGGTAGTGTTCTGACATAGCTTTCCTCTCTGGTGAGCAAAGTGTTGGTTGGCTTGGCCTTGTTTTCTTTCCTGCCAGAGGGAGTTTTATATTATGCACTATGATTTTAGAGCCACAAATGCTAGACTCCAGAGAAGTTAGCTTTTCGAGTGGCACCCAGCCTGATCAGAGACGTTCTGTCAAAAACTTGTCGTTTTTCCACCACTTAAATCCTCGAATAGATGTTGCTATCGGCGCTCCCCAAGAAGATGGCCTGCGAGGGGCTATTTATATTTATAATGGCCGAGTCGACGGGATCTCACCCACCTTCTCACAGGTACAGCACTGCTCATTTATTTTATTTTATTTTTTTAAACATTATTATAAAAGCTTCTTTAAATTGTCCAGGGATAATGTTGACTTCTCTTTCCTAAATCGTTCTGTCAAATATTTTATCTCACTTCATTTTTTAGAATGATGGTAAATAATTTCATCATGAGGGTCCTCAAGCGGCTCTTGGAAACCATTTTCCCACCACAAACAAGAGTTCAAGGTCACTGCTGCTCTCATTGGTCTCTAGCCTGTTAAAAGTGCCTTTCTGTATTTCATCAAATTCATGTTCCACAGAAACATCCACACTGTTCCCAGACCGTCCATTTGGGCTTAATTACCGTGTCGTGTCTTGTGGGAAAAGCCCCACTTTGACTGGAGACAGTCACGTGGCGCGAACACACATTCACGTGGCAGGCTGCCTCTCTTGCGGTGCTTAGCAGTAAGCTGGTAGCCCTTCACTAGAGGTCTGTAAGCTCATCCTGACTGGAAAAACCAGGGCATTTTCAGTGCCTATCCAAAAAAACAAAAAACCCAGGATTCTTATGCAAAGAAGGAAAGTTGATCCAAAGCTACTTTCATGGAAATCGTATATAACACTTTTATTTTTGATGAGGCAAACATGAGCAAACGGACCTTTCCATTTAACATGAGAGATACAGACGCTTGTCAAAAATAGCCTTGAAAACTGATTCTCTTAGGAAAACTCGCTGCTTGCCATTTATAAACCAACATCGAGTCTTGAAATCGGACATGTGGAATATGAAGCCCAGAGCCGACGTGGAACGCTCTCGTGAACTGCGAGTAAACAATCTCGCTAACATCTTAAGCCCGAGTGAGAGTCTGTGCTTAATTAGTATGGATGTCTTCTCTTCCAGTTTACTTGTTTAGTTAGGCATCTTGGTCAGGGGAAGAAAAACAGAACATGAGGGAAGATTGGGCGGGCTAGGGAGAGAGGAGGAGTCAGGACAGTTTTAAAAGATCTGTATGTAAGGACTTAAAAAGATTCCTCAGCTTATAAAGAGTTTCGTTGCTGTTTTAAAGTCATGAAATAGATGTCAACCATGTACTGCACGCTGTGACTGTATTTTTCTTCTCATTACTATACAGTTGATTCTGAGTTACAGCAACCCTGTAAGACAGAGTAGATCTGCCCCTGTGGGTTTCTGAGCCTGTAACTCTTTACAGGAGTAGAAAGCCTCATCTTTCTCCCTCAGAATGGCTGGTGCTTTCGAACTGCTGAGCTTGCGGGTAGCAGCGGACACATCACCACTATGCCACCACCTGTTTCTCTTAGACAGCCATTTTTTTTAGTTAAAGAGCCCTGGTGGCATTGTGGGTTATGTGTTGGGCTGTGCATCCCAAGGTCAGCAGTTTGAAACCACCAGCCACTCTGCGTGAGAAAGATGAGGCTATTCCCATAACCCACAGGAGTGATTCCACTCCATCCTATAAATGGCGTAGGAGTCAGAAGTAACTCAATGGCAGCGAGAGAGGAAACATTTAGTTAAGAAACGTGTCAAGGCAGGGAAGGGCTCATTCTTTAATTATATCATTGCTTCTCTCGGACATGATGTGTTTAAAACCGATCCCCATTCAACTGATCTATTTTGCAGAGAATTGAAGGACTTCAAATTAGCGACTCCTTAAGTATGTTTGGACAGTCCATTGCTGGACAAATTGATGCTGACAACAACGGGTATGCAGGTGAGTATAAACTACCTTGTTTTGCTCGTTGGGACAAGCGCTATTTATAGGCTGCTTTACTGTGAAGTGCACACAGATGGCATTGGAAACTTTCATTAATCTACTTCGGATTTGCTTTCCCATCGCTTCCAAAACTCTGTTGAATTCAAGAATTGTGAACTGATCACTTCTAAGCCTTACCATTTTATGCTGGATTTTTACTTAATTGAAAAATTTTAAAACACCCATGGAAATAAATACATCAGATGGTAATGACAAGAAAGAACAAAATATTAGTTCATTTTTGGTAAAGTGGGTTTCTGGGTAAATGTTTCTTTCTAGCCTGAAAATTAATTGATTTTGTTCCAGGAAGCTTACTTTTATATCATCAAGTTTATGTTTATATTTTTTAAAAAGGATGAGGGTCAATAAAAACAAATGAATGAATTCAGACAAATGTGGAATGAATCTTAAGATGTTAGTATGTCTTTCCTAATTAATTTTCTGTAAATCGTGTTTTGATGTAGTTGAAAGGTGAGACATAGTTAAGTATTTATGGCTGCAGAGTAATTCTCTTTGACTAATGATGATCATTAATCTGTGTTGTTGTCTGTTATCCTCCAGATGTAGCAGTTGGGGCTTTTCAGTCCGATACTGCCGTGTTGCTAAGGTAAGATGCATTTCACTGCTTAATGACAATTGGCCTTGATTGTAAATGATGGGAGGCAATTTTTTAAATCAGCAGTGGTAGTGACCTCAGAGTGCTCTTTTTGGTATTCTGAGGTTTAATTATTGAACTTTAGAATATGACCCTTCCTTCCCTAAACATAATTAGATAAATTGTCAGGCACAGTAAAGCAGTTTAGACATTTGCTTGCAAGCTTCTCTTTCTCTGTCCATGGGACGACTGCAAGTGAGTAAAGAGACACATATTATTAGTAAAGCTGACTCAGGAAATTACTCGGACACTGTAAACTACAATAACAAATCAATTCCTAGCCTTCCTAAAGAAAAATAATTCTGCAATTAATACTGCTCATTTTGTTTCCTGCTTAGGACAAGACCAGTAGTGATTGTTGATGCTTCTTTAACCCACCCCGAGTCAGTGAATAGAACACAATTTGACTGTATTGAAAATGGATGGCCTTCTGTATGCATTGATCTGAAACTCTGCTTTTCCTATAAAGGCAAAGAGGTTCCAGGCTATATTGGTAAGTGCTTCTATGAAATTGGTGCCTGCTGGGGTGTGCATGTCGTGCATTGATTTCATGATCATCTTTTGAACACCCTTGTTTTGCATCATGAAAAGGTTTTTGTTTTGTTTTGTTTTGTTTTGAGCTAGAGATAACAGCATACTCCAGTTCTCAGGCTGTCCTGATAAAGGACTTGGATACCTAGGAGATTAGGGTCAAGAGAGATTAGGGCAGGAATAAAGGCAAAGCAGGATGATCATTTGCTTCCTAAGCACAGCTCTTCCTGCGCCTTACTGAGCCCTGCAAAGTCTACAACTAGCTGAAGCTGAAGGCGCTGGGAGGAGGAACCTTTCTTTCCTCCATAGTTTGAGTAATTGAAGATGGTTGAATGAAGACTAAGCCATCACTCTAATTTTTGTAAACAACACAAATCTCTTAATGAGCTCCCATGATGAGCCACTCCTGTAGGTCACCCCCACTTCCCGATAAAGAAGGTACTTAGTTCTCTGGAGAAGGTAGCATTGGGGTGGCTCTTTTAAAAATCATGGTTAGCCCCAGATACTATTTTTTATTCATCCCCTTTACTTCTTTTCTGAGCTCTGTTAGGGTGATGGATTTGTAAGGGTGTGACCTTGTAAGTATTATATTTCTGCAAGCAGGTTCATGTTTTTACTTATGTTATATTTAAGCTGGAATTAGGATAGCTGGTCAGACCATCTATAGAAGGAGTAATGTATGCCCGAGTTTATCATTAGGACATTAATAACTCACAAAGTGTATGGCCAATCCTAAAGCAAGTTTAGGACCTATCAAGAATGGGTTTTGTGGCCCTGCAGGCTCTTGTCATCTAACATCATGAAAGGCATCCAAAACTTACTGACCCGAATCTCAGTCTAAATTAACTCGTAAGGAGATGGAAAGAACAGGTCTGTTATCTTTACTCTGGATCACATTCACTTTCCACTGTGCGATTGGCATAAACAGGCGGAGGGGCCAACTCTCATCTGGCTATTGATGGGAGAACGGGCAGTTTGGGGATGTGATCCCCATTTCTAAGGCTCCTTATAGCTGGACTTCTTCTAAGACAGACTTGTTCATTCTTCTGGCGGCCATGATATGGTCAGTATTCTTTGCCAGCACCCTAGTTCAAATACCTAAGTTATTCTCTAGACTTCCCTATTCAGGTTACATCTTTTCTATGCAGAGGAGGTGATTGAAAATATCGTCGCTTGAGTCAGGCACACCGTAGGTCTCATAGTGATATTTTGATCTTTAACACTTTAAAGAGTCTTTTGCAGTGGATTTGCCTACTGTGATACATCGCTTGATTTCTTGACTGGCCCTTCCCTAGTGTTCTTTAGTAGGGTGACTCTGTCTTCTTTCCATCTTGTTTTGATAATTCTGTGTCAGTCTGGAGAATGGTATCATATTTTACAGTGAGGCTTAAATCACTGTCTGGTTTTAAGATTATTTCAGGGGAAAATTTTGGTTTAAGGTTTAAAGCTTATCTCAGTGCAATAGTGTCAAAGGTTTGCCCACCCTCCATAAGTATCTGAAGAGACCATGAGCATTTGAAATTCTATTCTACACTTCCCATCGTTTGATCAAAAGTCCTAGATAGAATCATTGATCAAAATATTCAGAAACTGTAGCCAGGTATCACCCAATGCTTGTGGTTTTTATGACAAACTTGAAAAGTTTGCATGGAGGCAATTAGCCACATAGCCCACATCCTCCTGTTTCCGACTCCATGTCATTTGTTGTCCCAGGTGAATAGATAGCAATTGTTGTGCCTTGGATGCCCGTTTGTAAGCTTTATAGCCCTAGTTACGACTCAGCAAACTAGGGGATAGAACTAGTTACGACTCAGCAAACTAGGAGATAGAGCTAGTTATGACTCAGCAAACTAGGGGATAGAACTAGTTGCGACTCAGCAAACTAGGGGATAGAGCTAGTTGCGACTCAGTAAACTAGGGGATAGAGCTAGTTACAACTCAGCAAACTAGGGGATAGAACAAAAGCGCCAAAGATATTACTAAGCCATTAAGTGGGATCCCTTGAAACCATGGCCCTTAATCTCCAAACCAAGCAGTCAAATTCCACCAGGTTTCTGGATATCCTTAAGCAGCCCCAGCAGCTACTGGTCTTCTGCTTCTTTTAGTAATTGTAAATATGATGCAACATTTGCCAATTCAACTCTTTACAGATGTATAACTTCTTGAAAGTAGTTTCAATAATCACCTGTGCAATTTACACTTAATCAATGTGATTTTTTCATCATCATCAACCTTTCCCCACTTGCTCCAACTCCTAGTAAACACTGATCTTTATGCAGTTGTTTTTTCATGTCTTTATATGTAAATGAAGCCAGTCAACATTTGTCCTGTTGTGATTGACTTCTTCCACTCCACATGTCTTCAAACTCCATCATCTTGTGCCAAATAGCAAGACTTCATTTCTCCAACTAGTGAAGAATGCCTGTGTTAGTGTGCACCGCATTTTGTGTATACATTGTTATGTTGCTAGGCAGTTAGGATGTCCCTGCGTTTTGCCTGTTGTGAACAGTACTGCGAGGGACACTGGTGTCCAAGGGTTTGCTCCAGTCTCTGCTTCCCAGTCTTTTGGGTGATTTTACCAATAAGTAAAATCACTGGGTTACGTGGTAGTGCCAGTTGGAATTTTTTTTTTTACAATCAGTAGCTATGTTTATTTTTGTTTTACCTTCATATTTGAAAACATATTATAAAAATAAGCCAAACCATTTATCTGGAATCACTACTCCTGGAATAACAAATCTTATTGTTTTATTTTTTAGATGGATTATGAGGTAGTTAGTTTATTGAGCCAACCTGGCTGATAAACACATGTGGGGTTAATTGAAGGGCAGAGGGATAAATGGCTCAGTGAGTCTTACCTTTCTAGTTCTCAGGTCTCTTGCTTTCTGATGGTCAGACCAGGGTGCAGCTGCATTAACCAGTTCC